CAATAATCATTATTTTACAAATACAGGAGGAACAACAAATATCACACTATTTTAAAAGTATCTTTAGACTGTTTTAACTAACAATCAATTACTTGACCATAACAAATTACAAGTCTAGATAAAAAGTAATGAAGAAAGATGAGGAAATTGCTCTCATTCTCTGCCTCTTTTTACCCCTCTCGTTAATGCTAGATTGCTAGTCAATTAGCAATCAAGATTTACTTTTAGGACTAACCAACATCTTTTTCTTTTTGGTTCAAAGAAGAAACTACATAATTTCAAGGGTATTATTATACTGTGTAGAGGAGTTACTTGTTATAAACCTGTCCGTATGCAAGGTCAATTATTGTGCCAAACGTTTATGTATGTATATGAAGGTTTCTTTATTAATTCTAAAGTTGATTTCAAAAGTAAAATTTATTTACGGTCAAACCTCTCTATATCAACCTCATTTAATCCGATATTTTTTAACTGTTATAGTGAAATGTTGTTATAGAGAACATATATTATAACATAGCATAATAATCGGTTCCGAGAAAAACTTAATTTTTATAGGAAATAATTGTTATATGAGAATATTGTTACAGAAATGTCTGATTGTTTATGCTATAAAGGAAACAATGAAATGCTGCGATGGAATAACTTTTTATTTAAAACGTCCAAAGGGTGATAGCTATTTAATAATTCTTTATTATGATCATCATTTGTCAATTCATGCCCCGAAGAGGAAAGAAAAACTCATGCCTCAAAAGGGATTTATAAAAAGTCATTTGGAATAATTTAATAATTATTGGATGTAATAAATCCTTGATAATGAACAAAAAAGAGTATTCAAATTATTAAATAGTCAAATTATAACCCTAATTACGCACGATGAAATTAATACAGTAGGGCAACCAATTCCAAATCAAAGTCAAAAAAGGTATACAACGTTTACATTACTATCACATTCCTAAATGGAGTAGCAAGTCTCACGTTTGGACCATTTCATATGAGAATTAGGAGTGTGGAACCAACGCGTATATGGAATACTCCCTACTTGTACGTGAATTTGTTTGACTGGGCACGCAATTTAAGAAAAAATGAAGAATTTTAGAATTTGTGGTTGTAAACAATTCAAAAAAGGGTCTACTATAGTTATAAAAGCTTCTCACTAAGAATAAATTATTTCTAAATTTGAAAAGGAGTCATTCTTTTTTAAATAGATGAAAAAAAGGAAATAAGTTCAAGTAAACTGGAATTAATTGAGCTAGTAATAAAAAAAACCCACAGGCCACAACTATAAATAGCAGCCGTAATAGTCAATAATCCCCAACCACTGTCTTACGATTCAACCATCATCCATCGATTTGGTCAAAAATTTGCCACCGAATACCCAATTATATTCAACGAATTTTTTATACCAAACCCATTCTTCTCTGTCACCTGCTCCGAATCTCAATATCAAATCTGAGTTTCGGAGTTCTCTCGCAATAGCCGCTATTGTTTCTCAAAACAAGCGTTTCAATGGCGGTAGCGAGTGGCTTTGCGACCTCTTTTGCAGTTGACAGTTTTCGTTGTGATAATTTAAGTTCTACGTCGTGTTCTTCGTCTTTTTCTCCTTCCGTGGATTGTTTCCGGCACCAAGTTAGTTTATTCGGGAAAGGTCGGAGAATTAAGCCGTTGGTTTATTGGACGAAATCGCATTCTTTGAGCCCTAGATGTGAAGTTGCTTCGAACTCGGTGGTTAGTAATGGTGAAAAGGAATCTAAAGCGTCGAGTCTTTCAGCTTTGGAGCTTCTGAAAACATCTGCGGCTGACAGTAAGCATCGTTCTCAAGCCTTTTCTTTTTAATTATTTGTTTACTCATTTAGTTAGAGATATGAATGTATTAATTTAGACTAGACTTTTTTTGTTAGCGTTAAGACTGAGTTAATATATCTCCAGAAATAGTAGTTTAACTAGAAATCTAGATATTTCATTTTTTTTTTAAATTTAAATTTGTGTCTTTGATTGAATTATATTGATGAATTCTCTGAATACTGAATACATGAATAGAGCGGAATTAATTAGTTGATTGATTGATTATTGTACGGTGATGAGAAGTTAACATAAGATGGTTTTAGAAGGTTAGAATTTGAGTCTAAACATTAGTAACTTTTTCTTGAGCAGGATATACAAAGAGTAGCAGCAGCATCATGGTGATTGGACTTAACATTCACACAGCACCAGTTGAAGTGCGGGAGAAAGTCTCCATTCCAGAAGCACAGTGGCCTCAAGCAATTCGTGAACTATGTTCCTTGAATCATATAGAGGAAGCTGCTGTATTGAGTACTTGTAACAGAATCGAAATATATGTTGTGGCGCTGGCCCAAAATCGTGGAATTAAAGAAGTGACTGAGTGGATGTCTAAGGTAAATTTTTCTTCAATCATCATTATCCGCATAATGTTTTCTTTTGTTGTCTCACATCTTAAACCCATGTGATAAACTAGCAACACCATTGATGATATAAAACCGTATTCTACCCTAATGTGCATCAGCCTGTGTATCTTGTGGTCGGTTATGAACAAATTCTTGCTGGTTTCAAAGGTTTAGGAATTACTTTGTATATTCTCCATAATGAAAGATACGCTTAAGAAAAAGCAAAAGATTTGGCGTTTCTATGTCATTTAATACACTGTATTTCTACATTTAAGAAGGAACTGGATTTAATTTAAAGTGCTTTGGCTCCCCTGCTCACAAATATCTTTGCAAATGTCTAACTACTTTAAGCACAATTTTCAATGAAATAAAGCCACAAGCTACAGTTCTTACTTCTTGTACTTTATCAAGCAAATCTTTTTGACACAAATATTTTTGATTGGCAGTTTAGTGGAGTTCCAGTGACAGAGCTTTGCCAACACCGATTTTTGCTATACAATCAAGATGCCACACAACACCTGTTTGAAGTAGCTGCTGGGCTGGATTCCCTAGTCCTAGGAGAAGGACAAATTCTTGCACAGGTCAAGCAGGTTGTTAAGAATGGACAGGGGGTCCCTGGCTTTGGTAGGAAAATAAGTGAGCTATTTAAGCATGCAATCACAGCCGGAAAGAGGGTTAGGACTGAGACCAATATTTCCAGCGGATCAGTATCAGTAAGTTCAGCTGCAGTGGAGCTTGCTTTGCTGAAACTTCCGGAGTATTCTTCTTCTACTGCCCGCGTGTTAGTAGTTGGAGCAGGGAAGATGGGAAAGCTTGTGATCAAACATTTGGTTGCTAAAGGGTGTAAAAAGATGGTTGTAGTTAACAGGACCGAGGACAGAGTTGCTGCCATCCGTGAGGAGTTGAAGGATGCTGAAATAATATACAAACCTCTCTCAGAAATGTTATCATGTGCTGCTCAGGCTGATGTAGTATTCACCTGCACTGCTTCAGAAGCTCCTTTATATGTAAAGGAGAGTGTTCAAGCACTTCCTGCTGTGAACTCTGAATTTGGGGGACAGAGGCTATTTATCGATATTTCTGTTCCTCGGAATGTGGAGCCTTGTGTCTCAGAACTCAAAGGTGCATGTGTTTACAATGTGGACAATCTTAAAGAGGTTGTGGAAGCTAATAAGGAGGATCGGTTGCGGAAGAAAATGGAAGCTCAGGCCATCATTGATGAGGAAGTGAAACAATTTGAAGCCCGTAAAGACTCCCTTGAGACGGTTCCAACTATCAAAAAGCTCAGGGCATATGCTGAAAGAATTAGGGCTGCTGAGGTTGACAAGTGTTTGTCCAAGATGGGTGATGACCTCCCCAAAAACAAGAAGAAAGCTATCTATGATCTCAGTCTAGGGATAGTGAACAAGCTGCTACACGGACCAATGCAGCATCTGAAATGTGATGGAGCTGAAAATCGAACTTTAAGTGAGATACTTGAAAATATGCATGCCCTTAACAGAATATTTGGTCTTGATACAGAGATTTCTGTATTGGAAGAGAAGTTACGAGCCAAGATAGAACAAAATCAAAAGCAATCTTCTTGAGGTTACTTTGCCATTCAGAATTCTTTAATTATTTTTCCCTCATGAAAAGGTCAACAACTTTCGGCTAAGTTACTAATCATGGTTTCAGATCCATGTTTTCTGGGAGGGTTTGCTAGTCTTAGCTGTATCAAATTAGAGAATAATTGTTCTAGTGGCCACGAGTTAGATTCCGGGTTATTATGAATTTTTTTCTAGGCCTGAGGTATCCATTATTAGGGGAGGGATTCCCTCCAATTGTGAGAAAGTCTGTTTTACAGTTGCAGTTGTATTTGTTACACTCATTTGTTCCAGAAAAAAAGTATATACAGTAATACATTGAATCCTGATGACTCATATATCAAGTTCATGAGGGTTTTTATGAAGCTTCTTTTTGCTTTCTGTATTGTGTCTTTCCCTTTCTCAGTTGCTCATCCTTTATTTGTTTTTACAATATAGCTTCTGAACCAGCAGGGCACAGACACCATAATAATCCTATGTTAAGAAAATTGAACCATGAGTTACTAGTGTTTAAGGTTTCAATCTGGTTAAAAGTAGGCAATTCACTCAAAAGTGCATAATACTTGACATCATAGTATTGTCTAATTTTCTTATAGTCATGATATTGCAAGATTCCTGTTTAGTAGGATATCAGGAAAACACAAAGAAAAGCGTCAGAGAAGTTAATTTTGCTTGCCTTCTTTGTGCGTTTATTTAGTAGAGAAGTTCATCTAATTTACTTTTTTTTGATAAGTTATTAATGTTGATAATTGATGGATGATAAGTCTCTTGGTGAGGTTGGATCTAGATTAATTAAGAAAAAAGTTCAATCAACTTTAATTCCAAATTAATTGAGACTCAACCCTGTATATTTGTTACAGAAGTTCACCATATAAATCAAGGAGTTGTGATAAAATCACGAAGTTGAACCAATAAAGTTTATATCCTAAATTCGCTTGTGTATTATATAAATCTTTTGTATCAATTCAAATGATTAATCTTTTGGGCTCAGCTAACACAGAGGCAGTCATATTTTCATTAAATTTCTTCATACCGTTGAAAAGAACAAAACTAAAGCAGATTAATGGCTATTTGTTTAATTATTCTGTTTGCCTGAACAGTGTAAAAACTGAAATGGTTCTACTATTAATTATCATCCTGTGAAAATCCCATCAATTTTTTGAGTCCAGGGAAAAAAGCAGAAGAAGTAGACTCAGGAGTATTTTCGACCAAGTATTCATCAACCAAATCTTTAACAGACCTAGCAGACAAGGGATGAAAATGAGCAGCCCATTCTAACACAAAACCTTTAACCAAAACCCATTTCTCCTCTTCACTTAATCTCTTCCATTTCTTCTTCATTTCCTCCGATTTCAAGCCCGTATAGTTGCAAAATTCCAAATACAATAGCTCTCTGCTTTTCTTCAGTGCCTCCTGTTTTTGTAACATCTGGGTGTTTATCTTATCAACCTCTGTTGCCAAATCTAAGGCCAGCTCTAAATCGCTCATGTCGTTGTTGTTGGTACATGAGATTTTCGGAAATTTGTGTGGATTTTTGAGGGTATAAATGGAGGGAACCCAATTGATTTGGGTCTTTGTGGATAGTGAAGGGAAATAGTTTGGGTAAAGAAGATGAATTCTCAAAGCCATGGAAAGAGGATTTAGGTTTAAGTTTTTGGATTGGAATTTAAAGGGCTTCTTTATGAGTTTATTGTTAGGGACCTAGTATCTAGTGGCCAAATTTGACTTATATAGCCTGTTTGCCCAACTTCTTTAGTTTTTCCTTTTTGTCTTCTCCAAAAGCACTTTTGGCCAAAAATTAATGTGTTTGGCCAAGCTTTTGAAAGGAAAAAAAGTATTTTTGAGGAAAAACAAAAGCAGTTTTGGGGAAGCAGAAAAAATGAGTTCTCTCTAAAAGCACTTTTTGGAGAAGCAATTTTGAGAAAAATACACAAAGAAGCAGTTTTTTAAAGCTTGGCCAAACACTAATTGCTGCTCAGAAGTGTTTTTCAAACTAATTAGCCAAACACAAATTGCTTCTCACCAAAAATACTTTTGAGAAAAACACTTTTGAAAAAAAAACACTTCTCAAAATAAGCTGATTTTTGCAGCTTGGTCAAACGGGCTATTATACACTAAATTTTAAAAAAAAGGCTTGTGAATGTTATGATCTAAAATAAGTCATAAATATTTGTTTGGCTTAGGAATGACAAACGGGCGGGTCGGGTCGGATATGGTTCTGGTCGAAAATAGGTAATAAAAAAATTGTTAAATTATCCGACCTGACCCATATTTAATACGGATAAAAAACGGGTTAATCGGCCGATAATATGGGTAACCATATTATCCATGACTTCTTGCATATGATCACTTTTGGAAGAATTCTTAGTCTCTCTAACTTGAGTAACCCCAATTTGAAGCTTTACAAATGTAAAAGTTAGACTAATTGGTTACCTATTGATTATCCATTTTCTAAATGGATAATATGGTTCTTATCCATATTTGACCCGTTTTAAAAAAGCTCATTATTCAACCCATTTTTTGTGTGGATAATATGTGTGGTTAACTATTTTCTTCTAACCATTTTGCCACCACTAATTTGGCTATAAGCTATTTTATTAAAGAGTAAAATAAGAAATTTAATAAGAAATTTAAAATTAAATTATTTTTAAATAAAAAAGTATGATATTTTTTTCGAGACATACTAAAAAAAAGTATGACATATAAATTAAGATAAAGAGAGTATTTATTAGCCTATAGCAACTTTTATGATTGGCACGAATCTAGATTATACTATCGGATACGAGATATGTACCTGTTATCTCCCACCAGAATAAGTACCAACAAGTCTATCCATCGGCTTAGATATTATAGAACAATATGAAAATATCAATATTAAAGAGCCTCCAAATGAAGAAGATTTCAATATTTTTGAAATAGAGTAAAAAAGCTAGTGTATACTAGAATGGACAGAGGTATTATAGATTTATTTCTTGAGGAAACATGTGTGCATTATTGACGTTTGAGAGTATTTAGGCCCGTTTGGACATAAGAATTCTCACTTTTTTTCCGAAATCGAGTGTAGCAAACCAATTTTAATGCAAAGAGGAAAAAGATAATTCGCACATCTTATAAAATGTTTTTTAATGAAAACGAACACTAATTGGGAATTGATATAAAAACCATTTTCAGGAAAAGAATAGTTCCTGGTTGGGGAAAAAAGCATTAAGGATAGTTAGTGTTACTTGAATAGAATATTTTTTATAACTCGCTCTTAACACATCTCTAGCTCCTTAAGGGGAGTTTATCATTTTTTTCCATGAGTTCATTTACATCCTCCACCTCCACCCCAAAACACAAAAAGTCTGAAAAAGAAGAGAGTGCACCTGAATGGAAACATAGAAGAAATCTATATATAAATATGTTCTACAAAGTTACAAAACGGGAAACAAATCCTCCTGAGGTATAACGTGAAAAGGGAAAAAATAATACTTCATAGAGCATGAACTTCAGGCCTTTTTGTTCATAATCAACCATCTGCTGCCTCCATTTTTCCTCACAAGAAAACCATCTCTAATCAAAGCCCCTGAACAAGGCTACACGGCATCAAAGGTGCTAGAAAGAATTTAAATGGACAGAAATTAGTGAATTAGTTCACCACCTCCTTCAGATCAGCAAGTTTGTAATAGGTGTCAAAAATATGAGCACCGCATCTTTGATCTATCATGAGCTCAGCTGCAAATACTTCAAGAAACCTTTGCAACCATCCACAATGATTACCCTGTCTCCAAAATATAATGATTCATAAGCTGGGCCAGAATATCAACCCATGTATCTGGAACACCTGGAAGGCACCAGTGCATACAGTCCTGACCCCAGACAGCCACTGCATCCTTTTTCCCCAACCAAATCGCAGGATGGGCATCTGCCCTGAACTCGCTCAAGTGAGTCAGATCGAGGATTCTGATATTTGAGCCTTTTAGAACCTCTTCAATGAGATGATTTAGTCGCCTTGCTTCTTTGTTAACCCCATTATATCTGGGATCAAACCACAGGTCAAGCTGTTCAGGTATCAGTAAGATTTTCTTCAGAAAACTTGTCATTACCTACTATTATTAACTTACTAGCACACAATAAGTCCCTACAATTCGTTAGGAAATGTAATTGTCCGGTAAATATGGAAAGAAAAAGCACTTATTGAAGGAAGTTAAATTAAAAAAAGAATATATATATATATATATATATATATATATATATATATATATATATTATATNTAAAGAACCCAAAAATTGATCCATCATTATTCCGAAACTAGATGTGGACCAATACGTGTCTAGAGACAGAGAAAAACTCATATTGAAGTCTTTTAGTCGGCTTATTCTCAAGAGTAGCCCGCGCAGTGAATATAGAACTTGCTTTGAATATTGAACAAACACAATTGGAATCATTAACAATGCAAAGTTGCTGCACAACACAAATTACCAGCTGATCTACCTAGCTCATCCTCCATCGGCACTTCAATTTCCTCTGGTACACTCACACCCAAAAGAAGCAAGATAACACCTTCCACTTAAAAAACATGTACATTATTCACTTAATATGGAAGATTTTTGTTTTCTGGTAACACATTAATCTATAATTTCTTTTTCTAGGATTAACGATGCCGTAGAAGATAGATACGAGCTCAGACCTTTATGTGTTTGAATTAAGTTTTAGTACTTTTCGAGTTTCAATAGAGGTACAGGTAGAATGTTACCATTCTAAAAAAAACAGTGGTGCAGGTAGATGGTTAGCTCCAAAGGTGGCTGAAGATTCCATCCATAGCGGGTGAGGTGTTCGCAATGGGTAGGTAGTTGATGTTAATGTTTTCGCCCAACAACCGTCTGTCATCCAGATGCTTTATTCAATTTCCTTACATCTTATGTAAGAGAACTTCAAACAAAAATGACAATTTTTTAAAAATAACAGAGAAAGAAAAGTGGTCGTTCATTTTGGATGGAAGAAGTGATAGACATATCAGCTTATGTGCTAAAACAGCAAGAAGGCACATGAAATTACCAATGACCAGTGTTGAAGACTAAAACATCATAAAAGGAACCAATATGAGCCCAATCATCTGCTGGAATATCGACATCTACTCGATATCTTCCCTTCAATCCATCTTGGTTGGAGTCATCAAGTTGTTTTGGCTGCCACCTTATTCAATCAGTAATGAGCAAGTAAGGTTAATCTTTGCACTTGCTACTAAATTGGAACAGACTGAAAAAAAGGAGTGTCACATAAATTGGGAGAAAGGGAGTGACAAATTGTTAATTGACAAGACAATGGAATAAAAGCCTTATCTTTTTTCACTTGCTACGAAACAACACAGTATACAACAACAGGCCAAGCAATATAGTGCAAAATCAAAACAAGGTAAAAGAAAAAAGCAATGTACTCACTCATATTTCGCGAGCAAAACAGCACGATGATAAGCCACAGTAACATTAAACTTCGGAAAATAAGCTCCTCTCCAAGCCCCCTTTCTCTTCCATTTCTTTGCACCAGAATCAGCTACTCTTAGTATACACAAAAACGAAACCAAGAAATTCTCATTCAACGAATCCCCAACAAACCCAATATTCTTGTTCCTCATTAAACTCAAGAACTCAACCGGATCGATCCGAGCCAAATCACACTTGTCGGGTACCCATTTCCATGAATTGNCATTGTTCCGGAACTAGATGTTATGTGTATACAGAATGACAAAAATCATATAGTAGTCTTTTAATTGGTTTCTTCTCAAACGTAGACTTAGCCCACGTTGTGATTAACGGAATACTTTCTTTGAAGTTTGAACAGACACAACTGGAATAATTAACAATGCAAAATTGCTGCACACAACAAATTACCAGCTGAACGACCTAGCTCATCCTCCATTGGCTCTTCAATTTCCTAATGTGATACACTCATATCCAAAAGAAGAAAGATAAGCTAACACTTCCCACTTAAGAAACATGTACATTTTTTTACTTAATATGGCAGAATTTTAGGTTTTGGTAACACATTAATTTATAGTTTCGTTTTCTAGGATTAACTTGAGATGCCACTGAGGATTGATAGAAGACTTTTATGCGTTTCAATAAAGTTTTAAACTTTTCAAGTTTCACTAGTGGTACAGGCAGGTGGTTAGCATCCAAAGGTGGCTGAAGATTCCATCCATAGCGGGTGGTGTGTTTGCAAGGGTTGAGGGGCAGGTAGTTGATATTAATATTTTCGCCCAACAACTGATTGTCTTCCAATTTATTCTATTCTCTTACATATGATGTAAAAAAAACTTAAAATGAAAATGTCAATATTTTACAATTAACAACGAAAGAAAAGTAGTCATTCAATTTGGAAGGAAACAACATCAAGGCACATGAAATTACCAGTGACCAGTGTTGAAGACTAGAACATCATAAAAGGCACCAATATGAGCCCAATCATCTGCTGGAATATCAACATCTACTCGATATATTCCCTTTAATCCATCTTGGTTGGAGTCGTCAAGCTGTTTTGGCTGCCACCTTATTCAATCAGTAATGATCAAGTAAAGTTAATCCTTGCTACTAAATTGGAACAGACTGAAAAAGGGAGTGTTACATAAATTGGGATAGAGGGAGTAACAAATTGTCAGTTGACAAGATAATGGAACAAAAGCCTAATATTTTTGCACTTGCTACTAACAACACAGCCTACAACGACAGGCCAACAAATATACCGCAAAGTATAAACGAGGCAAAAGAAAAAAGCAATGTACTCACTCATATTTCGCGAGCAAAACAGCACGATGATAAGCCACAGTAACATTAAACTTTGGAAAATAAGCTCCTCTCCAAGCCCCCTTTCTCTTCCATTTCTTTGCACCAGAATCAGCTACTCTTAGTATACACAAAAACGAAACCAAGAAATTCTCATTCAACGAATCCCCTACAAACCCAATATTCTTGTTCCTCATTAAACCCAAGAACTCAACCGGATCGATCCGAGCCAAATCACACTTGTCGGGTACCCATTTCCATGAATTGATCCGACCCATGTTTTCCCTTTGGTTTCTGAGGCAGTTCCAGGCGTTCCTGTGAAACGGGCAGGACTCATCGTAAATGGGTTTGCGATTCGGGTCGTTGATCCACTTGCCTTTGAAGAGATTACAAGAGGATGAGATGGGAATTTTGGGTTTTGGAGTGGGAGTGTAAAGAGGAAGAGATAAAGAGTAGAGAGAAATGAGTAACAATGTTGGTAGAATAAGCCATGAGAAAAGCTTTGGGGTAAACTTGGACGCCATTTCTGATCTCCTTCAAACATGAATCAAACGGGACATAGATGAACCATTTCAAAATATGAGGAGTTAATCGATACTATATTATTGAGTTTTTGTTATTGGGTACCTAAAATATAGCCCCGAGCATATTTAGTCATTGAATATGCTAAAATGGAGCATCTTTAGTCTTACTAACACAATGTATTTAAAAATTAACGGTGTTATCAAACTCTAATTCATGAAGCAAATCTTCTGATCTGAAACAAAAAGTTTCCTCTCATTTTATTGGATAACGCAAATTATCACTTTAATTCCTTATTTTTAGATAATATATTCTAAAATTTTGACCTTGAAAATAGCCCCTTATGTGTCAGTTTTTAATAAAAAAATGACACTGTATAGCCACTGTAAAAATAATAGCCGAAAAAATATATAAAATTTATATATTTTTTATTACACAAATTTTATAGACTTTTTCCGCTACAAGATGTAAATAGTTTCTGGCACTGGCTAAAAGTGATAATACAATCTGGTTATTCGTTTGCTTTAATAATATGCCTGGAAGTGATCCCGACAGCTCTATTTTTTTCAAATTTTAACTTTTCTTTTTGGAAAAATCAACTGAAATTTTTAAATGTATATATATACAAAAAAAATATACAAATTTTATACATTTTTTCGGCTATTATTTTTACAGCGGCTATACAGTGCCATTTTCTCATTGAAAATTGGCACATAAGGGGATATTTTCAAGGTCAAAATTTTAGAACATTATCTAAAAATGAGGAATTAAAGTGATAATTTGCGTTATCCAATAAAAGGAGAAGAAACGTTTTGCTTCAGAGCAGAAGATTTGATTCATGAATCAGAGTTGGGTAACACCGTTAGTTTTTGAACATATTATGTCAGTAAGACTAAATGTGCTCCACTTTAGCATACTTAAGGGACTAAATATGCTCAGGGTTATATTTGAGGGACCAAAATAGACCTACCCTCAAACATAAGGGATAATATTAGTCAAAAACTCTTACAAGTAAAAATAAAATAAAAATAAAACTGTAGTCTAACTACTTCTTCCCTCCCAATTCCCTCCTAATTTATGTAATGATATTTTAGTTTCAGAAAAAATAAAAGAAGATATTTCCTTTTCAGTATGTCCAAAAAAAAAACATTTTTATAATTATTCATTTTACCCTCACTAAATTAATCTATAAAAATATTTATAACTTATTTTAGATTATTAGTTTCAAAAGTGTATCTTTATTTCTTAAAATTCATGGATAGTCAAATATCATTATACAAGACAAGGGGGTACCTGTTTTATAGGAGTATGATCCTAGAAATATACTTTCCGATTATGAAATTCATGTTTTATAGGTTAGATTGGTCAATATCACTAGTTGTCAATACTCAAAAGTCAAATTACCTCTAGTCATGTTAAAGAGTTAATAAAAACATTGTCTTATTGTTGTTAATTTTAAACTGCTTCCAAGTAGTTGTGTCCAGATACCTTGCTATTTCGCATTAATGATTAGCTATTTGTTGTTAGTTTGCAAAAACCATTGTGTTTTTATCTGGGTTGCAAGCTGCCCATGGTCTTTCTTTTTAACTCACCATAATCATCAAGCAGACAAGAGATATGCAACTGTTTATCTATAAAAGAGAATACTCTTAAATATTTCTTTCTCTGCCTCTTTTAAGCCCTACCAAAAGTCCAAAACACAGGATCAATCTGGAATTTAAGGCAATGGGGACTACTAAAAACCATATCAGCAAGTTTGCCCCAGTTATACTGTACATTTTTCCAAATGATTTTTGCTTATGCTTGTAAGTTACAGCTTTGAAACTCTTTGTTTGATTTGCACACATTTCACTGCATGCCTTCTGGGGCTAATGTATTGGATGAGGCTGCAGATGAGAAAGTTGCAGAGGAAGAAAGTCGCAAATATTGGTTTCTATTTAAGTACTCAGCGTAGCAGAGAATACGTATCAGCTTAACAGTCTTCATGGAACCATATGGACATTCACCGGTATTTGGGTTCTGTTTGCTTTTCCAATGGCTCTATTGAGGATACTAGCCAAAACTTGCTGAAGAGGAACACTACGAAATACAAGGGGGAGGTGGCCGTTACTTCTGCTGGAGAAATATCATCATTATTTCATTATGTGGTAGTGGTACCTCAAACTCGGTATAGTCAGTTTCAACATCATTTGGAAAAAGACAGAAGTTTCTGTAAATCACCAAAAGCCTGATAAATAAATCCACGTCTTCATGACTCGTGTTACCATTATCCTGAGCTTCCAAGGCCATAAGCTTGATTTCTAGTTCCCTTTCAAAATGTCATAAAATTGCACTGGTTTCTTCTTGGGCTCAGCACAAGTTTCCTGAAAAAGAGGAAGTAAAATACGTTGGTACTGAAGTCATTTCTGCATAGGAATCACTGTTTCAAGCTTTGAATGATCACGATCGCACTCAATTACCTCAATGGCAGCAGCCAAGCGCAAAATGGAAGCTTCACACCAGGGTCGGCCAATGAGTTGGATACCTATGGGAAGCCCTTGCTTGTCGTAACCAACCTGAGCATGCAACTCAGGTTATGAGATGGTGATTATCATCATTGTTATAATAGGTGAAACTAGGCCCACCTCATTCTGAACGGGATAAACAAATCCTACATTATGGATTGATATGCTTCTGGAGGATAAAGCATTTTTTGGGGATAAGTGGAGAGAATAAAGCCAAATTTGAACCATTTTTTTCTATTTTCACGCAAACCCCTCCCGTAAACCAATGAAACAATCCATGAGGTTCAAGAGAGTACCATCCCTGAATGACCATTGGTCAACTAACCACCCTGGATAGAGGAGAAATAACTTACAGGAACAGAAACTGCAGGAAGTCCGAGAAGATTTGCTGTTATAATAAACCGCATAAGATTTCCTGAAAAAAGAATACATAAATACGAATCTAACCTGAAACTGCAAAACAGTAAGCTGTCCAAGAAAATAGTAGATAAAACAGCAGGAAAATTTCTACTAGCTCTATAGTTGATAATATCTTGAAACAGATCGAGTGTAGGAAAAAACCTGAAACTTGCAAATCAGTCTCCCCAACATTAAGAGCACTTGGTGGAATTCTGGGCGCTGTCATGCTGAAAAAGAAGTTTCACAGATGGTTTTAGGAATATACAGAACCATGAACTGCCTATGCACACAATCTCAGGATGTCATATATCAAAATTGACATGAATCAATGAACCAATCTCCTTCCTACACATCCTTGACTTGCCATTTAATGTTTTAGGTATCTATGTGAACAAGTCAGTCACGTGACCGCTTCATTGCTAAGAATATTATCTCAGGCACAGAAGTCCCACCAATCAAAAGAAGTGGGAAAAACGAAAAACGAGCATGACAAAACAAATAGGGAAATAGTTTGAAAAGCTAGGGATGAGTGATTAAATGCGTGCACATGAAAAGGTGGGAAAATACATTATTTACTGGAATACTATTAGCCTTGGTGAAAGATATGAAAGATAATTCTGCAAATTTTGGAGGCTTCTCTTGACCTACCCGGTTGTAGGTGTCACAATGACATCCACCTTCTTGAAAATCTCCATATGGAAATACATTATCCTCCGCCTGCAACAACCCAGAGAAGAGTTATGTCTTAATCATATTATCTGTACTTCTCAAAGATTGCATTCTTCTTACATCTGTTAGAAAATAGAAATGCATATGATATTAATTGAAAGGATTAGTAGTACAGAGTATATGCGCAAGCAAAGCATAAAAGAGCAGGCATAACTAGTGAACAGTATGTTAGGAAGACAGACATAACCAGTGAACAGTATAGAACTTAGAAGATATTTGGCCTAAGCAGTCAACAATTTCTCCTATTCATCATCCCACCATGCTGATTGTATGAAACATTTACTTTCAAGATATTAAATACTCCATCATATGTCTTCCCAAGCCATGCTTGTTTTGGAGTGTATCTGACTTCTTTGAACGACATCCTTGTTTAGGTTTCCAAAGTTATCAACTTAAAAAGTTTTGGCAAATAACAAAGTGCAAAATCCAACCGTAAGCAAAAGTATTGACATTTTCGGTAATTTCAGATGCCACAGTATTCTAGACCATAACACAGTTCGATTCTAAAATAAATTCATGACTAATAGCCTGTTTGGCCAAGTTTCTAAAATCAGCGTATTTTGAAAAGTGCTTTTCAAAAAAGTACTTTTGGTAAAAAGCAATTTGTGTTTGGCTAATCAATTTGAAAAGCACTTTTGAGCAGCAATTAGTGTTTGGCCAAGCTTTTAGAAACTGATTCTAAGCAGCAAAAAAATGTTGTTAGGGAGAAACTACTTTTTTCTGCTTCTCAAAAATTGTTTCTGTTTCTACTCAAAAGCAATTTTTTTTCTTCCTAGAACCTTGGCCAAACACCTCAACTTTGGATTAAAAAAAAAGTACATTTTTGGAAAAAAAAAAACTGCTTTTGGCCTTGAAGAAGCTTGGCCACACAGGCTATAAATTTATATTGATTTACGTTAGGTAGCTTGAAAACCAATATATCTCACCTAAGTCGCTGAGCAGCAACATAATCTGCTGCTGTAAATGAACGGAAAAGTGCCAGATTGGTGCGAGTATCATATGTCAATCTTGGTCCTTTTCTGGAGACAAAGGGAAGAAAACAGAATTATAAGATAATATCAGGAAACAAATAAGATATCGAGATCTAGTAAGAAGCAATGTGATGTATAAAATATCAAAAGCTAGAGTGTGTACCCATCTTCACAGTCTGGATTCATACTGCATAAACATTCAGACCCGATAGAAACAAGATGAGCTGTCCGCATCTCATGCAACTCTGGTATTACAATCTCTACCGTCTTCAACCATGAGATAAAGAAAAAGATTAGAAATATTTTACAAACATGTAGAAATGATAGTTACTTACAATACTGATGCTAATAATTCCGCCAATCCTAAACCAAAAGCTAGCAAATATACGTGCCAAAGTCCAAGATAAAGCTATGAAGAATGTAATAATAGAAGTAGGCTTACTTTGCATCCATGGTCTTCAGAT